TACACTCTCAATTGCTGTGGCCTGGAATCAGGTACTGCAAATCCACCAGTTTTGTCTGGCTTTTTGAGCTTGTTTTGGCTGTTCTAGGTCTTTTGAATTTCCATATAAATTCCGTAACTGATTGCCGAGATCTATTAAAAATCTGATTGGGATTTTGATAGAGAATGCATTGTATCTTTCCACCAAATCCGGGGAAAACTAATATCTTAACAATCGTGTGGCCCTTTTATTTCTTTGACCTCACTGGCCTCGAGGACTGTGTAGAGTACAGGTGCCAGAGGCCTTCATTCTTGTCTGGTTCGTGATGGCGGAGGACGTGTTCGGGGTCCCACGAAGTACGTAATACAAGCTCACTGGAGGTTTGTGTGCTTTGTTTTTATCAGATTGAAGAAGCTCTTTTCTCTACCTAGTTTGCTGAGATTCTTTTAAAGATGAGAAATGAGTGTTGAATTTTGTCAGTGTGTTTCCTGAATCTGTTGATACTCCTGTGGCTTTTATCCTTCGCTTTATTAATGTGAGTTAAATTGATTTTAAAAAGGCTGTATTAACTATACTCCAGACTTTATTTCCATTACACAAATTTTTAGTTATTTCTTTCTGTTTCGGGATCCCATCTAGGGGACCACACTGTTGTGTCTCCTCTGCTCTGTGATAGGTTGTCAGTCTTTGCTTGTGTTTCACAACTGTGACAGTCTAAGGTGTCCTGGCCAGGTAGCCTGTAGACTGCCTCCAGGCTGAGCTTGTCTGGTAGTTTCTTCATGATTAGACAGGAGTTCAGGGTTTTTGGACAGACTACCACAGAGGTTCAGTGCCCTTCTCATCCATCACACCTCTGGGTCCAGGACCCTGGCAGTGTTAGCCTTGATCATGTGGTCAGGTCATGTTTGCTGCTTGTAGGCGCACGTCTGTAAAGGGCTGTCTTTCCTGTTGTCTGTCCTGTTCTTTGGAGGCAAGTCCCTAAGGCGGGAGGGGTCGGTGGGGCGTGGGCGTGGTCTGCTGTGAAGACATGGGGAAGACCTGAAATTCACCTCCGGAGGAAGGCTTGGGGGCAGGGGTGCTATCTATGTGTATTTGGAATTAGTCTCCAAGATTTGTTAATTGTTTTTTTTTTGAATGTTAAGTCACCCTTGTGCTTCTGGCTCTGGCTACCTCAGTTGGTTGTGATATATTTTCCTTTTATTATTTGCTGGCTTCGTTGTGCTTTTTATTTTTTTAAGGAATTTTGTGTCTGTATTTATAAAGGATATTGGTCTGTAATTTTCTTACAGTTATTGCACAGTTTGCTCCATCTTTCCAACTTGTCATTTACCACTGTTGGTAGAATTAGAATTTGTATTCAATTTGTATTTGTATTTCATGATATAATAATTATTCTCTATCAGCTATTCTGTAATCATTAAAACTTTTGGGAAGTGTTTTAAAACAGTATTCTGTGTACTTTTCTCTGATGCTCCCTCTCCCCCCCACGTTTCAGAGAACTATTTTCCCCCCCTTGGGTTTGGGACAGAATTCTGAATTATCTTTCACAGCACTGAGACATCACAGGTTCATTTCAGAATTAGCTGGAGAGCTTAAAACATATGCAGGCCTGGGTCTTGCCAGAATTGGACTTTCTAATTCTTTATGTCAGCAGTTGACCTGTGAACAATGCTGCGGTCAGGGTGCTGGTCCCACTCAGCTGAAAATCTGCTTGTAACACTTACTTTTGACTCTCCCAGAACTTAGCTACTAAGAGCCTACTGTGACCAGGAGCTTTACTGATAGCAGAAATAGTCCGTTAGCACGTATTTTGTATGTGATCTATGTTATACACTATATTCTTACAATAAAGTAAGCCGGAGGAAAGAAATGTTATTAAGGAAATCATAAGGAGGGGCACCTGGGTCGCTCAGTCGGTTAAGCGCCCGACTCTTGATCTCTGCTCAGGTCTTTCTTCATCTCAAGGTTGTGAGTTCAAGCTTTGCCTTGGGACAGCACTGAACTTACTTTTAAAAAAAAGCATAAGGGAAACATGTTCATAGTACTGTATTTAAAATTTTTTAAATTTTTTTAAAATTTATTTTTGAGAGAGAGACAGAGTGTGAGCAGGGGAGGGTTAGAGAAAGAGGGAGACACAGAATCTGAAGCAGCTCCAGGCTCTGAGCTGTCAGCACAGCCCAGTGCAGGGCTTGAACGCATGAACCGTGAGATCATGACCTGAGCCAAAGTCCGCCGCCCAACCGAGTGAGCCCCCAGGTACCTCTGTAGTACTGTATTTATCCAGCAGAATTCACATATATGTGGACCTGTCCGTTTCCTACCTGTGTGGTCCAAGGGTGAGCTGGATGTGATCAGATCTGACTTGTCTGTAAAGAGCTTTCACAGTGGTTTTTATGTGTGCCCTCTGCTGAGAGTCATACTTAAGGCTTTCAGGTTTTCAGCATAACTAAGTAGCTAAAATTAAACCTTTGAGTATTTTTGGAAGAGCCTAATAAGGAGATCACAGATATACACATATTTAGCTTCTTACACAATAAAATCTTAGGATAATTTGGTGATTATTTGTCCCCCAACACCAGTTTTCATTGCAATTTTACTTGTGCATGGAATACTAGCTAGTACTTGTTAAGAACTGCCGAGAAAGTCAGCATTTTGGCAGATAGGTTATTCCGTCCTGTAAATCATTTGGCTAAAAGAGATGCTTTTTTTCTTTTCTTTTTTTTTGAGCCCAGTATTTAGAGTAAGAGGCAGTGACCAGTGCCCGAAGGCAGGAGTCCGGCTTGGTGAAGGTTGTTAAGTGCCCCGAAGTGGAGGCAGGTGGGGCTGCTTCAGGGCGTGTGTAGGCCTTGAAGTAGTTTCGGGCTTAGTGGGACACTTGTACCACAAGTTTGCATCCTGGGAATTCCACCTTATGCTGTGCTTTTGTAGTCCTGCCTTCCCTCCGTTTCTGACCACTGGCAACCAGTATGGTGTTTTCTCTGGGAGAGCATCCTGCGCACGGACTCATTGCAGCATATCACCTGACCTCTCGCGGCCCGCACGCCTTTGCCCCTTCACCCCACGCATGTATCGATAGCTTAGCCCTTGCTAGTGCTCAGGAGCGTTGGATGGACCCACTTTATGTGTCTGTTCACATACTGTTGATCCAGTTTTGCTGATCCAGAAGAGAGCTGTAAATATTTTCCTACAGGTTTTTACATGAACATAAATGATCGTTTCTCTTGGATAAGTATCTGGGAATGCGGTATGCCGGGTCATAGACTGGATTTGTTGGTGGGTTGTAGGGTTTGTTTCAAGTAAAGAATTTTCAACTCATCCTTGTTCTCTTTAGATTTCTTTGGTGGAGATTTGGATGCAGAATAAACTTTATTAGTTTCAGTATTGTCATGTTTTATGTTAAACTTAAACTTGCTTGGAAGGTCTTTGAACTGAAATTACTTAACTCTTAATGGTTGAATTAGAAATGACTGTTACAGTAAATAGAATCTTTGCTTTATTGGTGGCCATTTCTTCTCCTCCTCTGTGGCCTTAAGCGTGGTGTGTGGACCAGTGTGTTAGCTTCACATGGAGCATGTTAGAGATGGAGCGTCTCAGGCCCCACCTGCGGACCTGTGGCATCACAATCTGCACTGAAACGGGATTCCCGGTGATGGGGATAAACGTGACGTTTGAGAAGCGCTGGTCTGGAGCATATGGACACAGAGAAGAGTGTTTGTCAATGAGTTTACCCTCGACTGGCGCGCACAGTGCCGCCCAGACCCAGCTGGGCCCTTCGTGCAAGTTGCTCATGGGTTTCACATATTCCGTACGGCAGGAATAATATCAAATGCCAAACCAACAAAGTACCAAGACTTTGGTACTTAAAATTCCCCTGCTGTACTAAGCGTCAGTACTGAGAGGTGGTGTCACTGTCATTAGGCTTAACCTCTAGTTTACATTCATCCTTGTGTTTTCAGGCGTTTGAACTCCTGAAGATGTGTAGAGACTTGCAGTATGTATAGCATGAGTGTGTGCATTTGCAGTTGACCTTTTTTCACAGAAATTGTGAAATTTTGGGGTTATGTTAAATTTTTTCTTGCGCATTTTCTAATGAAGTAGTTCATTTTTGTTTCTCTTAAGAGTAAAGGACATTTAAAATTATGAATCATGAGAATAAAGGGTCAAATTCTGTTTTCTTATGTTTACAAAAAGTATTTTAAGTGACCCTGGCACTTGGTAAGTACCTATCTTATTCTCTCCCAGTAGGTCACTGAGACCTAGTAAAAGGTGAAAAGTGATCGGTAGCATAAAAGGAATATTCGTGATCAAGTAAGAATTGCTGATGAAGATTACTTTTAGTTGGAACTAGATTAGGCAGTATTTGTGTAGGAATACTGATATAATAAAATAGGAGATGAAAGCTGGTTTTAGTGTGACTGGAAAGGAAAAAAAAAGCTCTGCTGGTGTGGTGGTCCAGGCCGGTGGCGGCGGTGCGCTGGCCCTGATGGCAAGCGGAGCAGAAGGGGCAGAGTGCAGGCGGAGGCTGGGGAGGCTGGAGAAACTCAGCAGCCTGGCAGCAGCAGGTTTGGAAGTCCTGGTGCACGGGGTCCGGGATTACTGCATGCGTCAAGCCCGTGTGACGGGAAGGGAGCGAGGGCGGGGAGACGTATGCTGCTAACTCCTGGAGCCCCAGGGTTGGTTTAGTGAACACACTGAACTTTGCTGGCATCTGGGTCAGACGTGAGGCCACCAGGGACTTTTGAAATTCGTGTGTTTTCTGTCAGAAGGAGAAGTAACAATATGTAGAGTTTGTACGTTATTTGCAAGCAGGAATTGAACTCTTTCTAACTTTAGTTTTAGTGTTTGAGATCATTTGTTCCTGATATTGGTTTAGGGTTTCACATGGGCTTGTGATGGAACATTTTGCAGCATCTTTACATCCTAAAATCTATATATTTATATATAATCATTTTTCAGTATTTAATTCAAAAGAATGTCAGTGAACTCAGTCTCCCTTTTTGTTTTCTATGTCTGCATTATAGGGAGGTATGGAAACTTTGGAACTACAGAAGGACATAAAAGAAGAATCAGATGAGGAAGATGATGATGATGAAGAATCTGGACGATTGCGTTTCAAAACTGAAAGGAAAGAAGGAACAATTATTAGGCTCTCAGATGTAACTAGAGAGAGAAGGAACATTCCAGAAACTTTGGGTAACTTTTTTTGCCTGTCTCCCATCCTTCTTCACTCCCATTTCGACTTCCTCCATAGTACTATTATGATTAATTAAATAAGTTAAAAAAAATTGACTTTATGGATTATTATGCATGGCCATCCAGAGAGTGGATGGTCGGTGTGAGGTGAGAGCTGAGTTATGGTGCTGTAAAAGTCATTCTGCAAAAGTGACTTTTCTGGATTAAAAGTGTTTGAATAAAATATTTGATTGCTTATTTTTTTAATAGCTTTTCTTTTGGAGTCGATGGCCTAGGCCTGCTCTCCTGCGTAGTATGCAGTTCCTGGCCGGCTCCGGGCAGGGGCTGTGGGGGCGGTGCAGGGCCCTTTGACCCTCTTGAGTCACACGAGGTCTCCAGGCTAATTCCGGACCATGCAGTCTGTATTTTGTACCTGTTAGTGTCATTATAACCGTTCTTTTGGTTTTCTTTTTCTGCCAGCCATTCCTCTCAGTGTTTCCTGAGTTACTTGTTCAGACGTAATCAGCTGAACAATCATTCTGCGCAAACCCTGCTTCTAAAGATGGACAGCAGGTCATTGTGGATCAGCAGAGAGCCTGCATCCGTATTCCCCCTCCACCTGGCACGGCTTTTCCCAGTGTCCATTACAGAGGATAAAGCAGCGGTTCTTGGATTTGAGTGAGCACAGAATCACCTAGAATTCTTGTTAGAACGCAGATTCCTAGACCTACTGCCGGCTCTTCCGATTCAGTAGGTTTCAGGTGCTGCCCAGGAAAGTTGTGTTTCTGCTCAGTTCCCAGGTGCCACTGTGCCTGCTGTTTTGGACCCCGGGCTTTGAGAACCACTGAGATTTGGTACCGAATTCCGGGGGTGGAGGTGAGGGATGGAAGGGCAGAGGGCTCACATAAAAATATCAAATAAAAATCAAGAAAGTAACCCTCACTTACTATGTTTATTAATTCTTAAACCATTATTAGCCATTTTTAGTTGAAACATGAGCCTGTGTCCATAAGCGGCAGGTGTGAATTGTGCACAAGGACCCCGGGCTCCCGTGGTGTGCAGGTTAACCGTCGAGAATGAGCCAGTCTCCCCGTGTCACTTCGCTAAGTGAGCTCTACAGAGAGCTTGCTAGACTCTTGCGCTCTCTACTGCTTCCGCCCCGAGTCCCTCCTCCTCTGCCTTTTGGGCCGGGAGTCCCCTGGCCTTTTCTCTAGTTAGGCTATAAAGTTGCCAGTTTGTCTGAAGCAGGAAAACATTAAGTTTCTAAGAAAGAGGGTCTGAAGTTGGCCTTGGGTAAAAGGAGATGAGGCAAAAAGAGTCTTCGAATAGGAGGATGGGAGAAAAACACTGTACCGTCAGCAGGAGGAGCTGGTAACACGTACCAGAGCAGGTCTCTTAGGCGTGGGCTGGGGAGAGGGGTGCCCCTGGCTGGGCACCGGAGGGCGGTGGGCAGCGGGCAGCACCTCGCTAGGGCAGTGGCGGGGCGTGGGGGCGACTCGTCCCGTTGCTGCAGCCCTGTAGCGGCTGTGGCGTTGTTCCCCAAGTTGGGGGACTTGTGTATGAAATCACGCACGGGGTAGCTGCAGGCTCTGAGGGCGGGGAGTCACCCGCGAGGCCCCAGAGGGGCCTTGTCCTGAACCTCCGTGCCTCCGCCCACCTCCTGGCCTCGGCCAGGGCCGTGTTTCTGTGCATGGTACCTGCCCAGGCGCTGACCTCACATCTTGAGGTGTCCAGCCTGCTCGTGCTCACTCTCTGTGTTGCTTTCATTCCTGTGTCTCAGGACTTTTGCCTCGGTTTGCTGTTTTCAGGTCATTTGTACCTCCTGAGAGGAGAGGCCAGAAGGGGTTAGCGGTAGGCAAGCTGGAGACCTGGGAGACATGGGGACGGAGTCTGGAGGTTTTAGAGGCAGAGGGACTGTGGGCATAAACGGTTTGGACACTTAACCATTTCTTGTAAACATGAAGAAGTGAGGTTTAAGTGTGGTTGTACAAATTGGGCCAGGTACTAAGGTAGGAGAAGATGGTGCTTAAATGCTCCATACTCGTGAGCCCTGCGTCCGAAAGCTTAGTGTTTGAAAAATGAGCTTTCTACTAACTCAGGCTTAGTCCCAGTACAAAGGGATTTTTCTGTCCATGTAAAGACTGTTTTTCTAAAACAGTGAGCTCCCTTGTTACCTTGCCCCCCCCCACCCATGGTTAATTTTATATATAAGAAAATATCGATAGAGAAAGAGCAGCTGCTACAGCATTTGGTAAGCTAGAAATTTGTGTTTGTCTGTGTGCCCCTGGTGATAGAAACGTCAGGTTCAGCTTCTGCGTAGAAATACTTAAGTTTGTTTGACTGTATCATGCTGCTCCTCACTCTTTGTAATGGAGTTAAAATATCTTGCTACCATAGTCCATATGTCATCTCGTATGATATGTATTTCTAGACAGATGACGTCTTTTAACATGTTGAATACAAATAAAGATCAGTTTGTGATAGAATTGGGGTGTTGAGAACACTCCACTCTTTAAAAAGAAGAATGAGGCCATGCTCTGGCACCCCTGTTCTGACCCTGTGGTGCTCACGTGGGTAGCGAGTGCTGGCTAGAGCCTAGCAGGGTGCGGGTCTCCTGCCGTCCTCCCTGCGCTCAGACAGGCAGCGCCGCCCTTCACTGGGGAGAGCGTGGGCTCGTGACTGACGGTCTGGCTGCTACGGAGCCTTGCACAGTCACTGGACTCCACACAGTCATTGGTGTGGACTTGGAATTCAGGTGGAGATTTGGGCTTTCATGTAGGTTAGGAGCTCAGCCAGCAATCTGGAAACTGAACCTTCCAGAAAGTGTGACCGTTTCTGAGTTTCCCCGAGGGTGGTACAAAGCTGCGTGCTTAGCAGATAGATGTCACTCATTCCACACAGAGGATGCCGTAGGCTGTGAGGGCCTCGCTCATCTGCAAAAGCCAGCTGATCAGGGCTTCTAGAACATACGTATGTAAGGGAGTGATGCATCTTGAATGGAAACGTCAAAAGCCATCTTTAGATAGTGGGGGCCAGTGACTGGTTTTCCTAAAGTCCTGGCACAGAAGTTCAGAGCGGCCAGGTCTTTGCCCTGGGAGGTGGGCCTGAGGTTGTTTTTGAAAGCAGGACAGCAGTATGTGAAAGACAATGTTCATTTTAGCCTGGCCTGTTTTCATCCATTAATCTAGGACTAGGCATCTAGATTTTGCAATCTTCTAAGTTTCACTGGCACGTGTCATGTGTTAAATTACAGTGTATTGCTTTAGCCTAAAGAACATTCTTATGTCTAAATAATGCTCTCTTGAAATAAAGTCCTTCGTTAATTTTGTTTAACGCGGAGGATCTGTGGGAATGGTATTTTCATCTAATAATAAACAGTTGAAGACCGTTAGTGCCAGCAGTAGGTACGGCCTTCAGTTCACGTGATGGTCCTTGTCTTGCACGCAAGGGTGTTACCAACTTCTTCATTCAAGTTCTCTTGTAAAAATAAATTCAGACCATCATTTATTTCCGTTTCGCCCAGTAAGCTGTGTATTCTATAAATATTGACTTGTATTAGTCCAACTATTATAAAATTATTTGTATGAAGATGTTTTTTCTAAGCACGTTTAAGCACGTTTTTAGGACAATACAAACGTAAAACTTTGTTGCATTGAGCTGTGCCCCTCTCCTTTAGAATATGGCCCTAGTCCAGAAAACACTTAAGAGGAAATTAACATTTCAGTTGAAGTTACAAATGTAATTTCCATCCTGTCATATTTTGGTGACCTTTTGTGACAGCTTGTCTCAATTGGAGGAAAGCATTTTTACTTGCTGATTAAAGATGTCATTTGAAACCATTTTATTACTGGGGATAGTGAAATTAATCTTGACACTTCGAACCACTAGAAAAATAATTGCTGATTCACCGCATAAAATGTGTATGTGAACCGATCATGTAGTCAAGATTAGAATAAAAGTCTGTGCTTGTTAAGAAGAGATTAAATTTTCTTTTGAATAGGGTCTAGATTTATTTGAAGGGGAGGGGAATACCATAAAAACAAAATCAAGGAAATATGTGGCTTAGAGATTTTGGAGGAGTTTGGAGATTATGGAACCCAAGGTAGGAGCTAAAACTGGTAATGGTTAAAATTTCGTCCTTCACTCTGGAAGAAGGTGTAACAGTGCCCCTGTTACGATTCAGTGAAACCTTTAGAAGGTGTACGTTTGTTAACCTAAGATACCACAATTTACACAGTATTGTAAAATAAAGGAACTGTGTTTGAAAAGTCAGCTTTTTTCTTCTAGGGATTTAGAAAAAGGGGCCAGCTCAGGTTTCTTAGGGCCACAGTCCGTGTTTTTATAGCCTTAAAGTGGGGGGGGGGGGAAAGGGGTCCCACAGGTGTCTGCAGTAATGAGTTTTTTCTTTTGTGACTTTGCTCTCATTTGATACAGCTTCCGTATCAGACTGCATGGATGTAAACCTTTTCCCACAGAGTAAAGGTCTTTTTAAGTAATCTGGAATGATCACATTAAATGAGTTTTCCACTGTATGAAATTAATCCTTTGATTTCAGGGTGATGTCATTAATAGTTTCGTTTAAATCAGAACAAACAGGACTCTGTTGTATTTATTTGTTATCCATCTTGCGTCTGTGTGCCACGGTGCTTTTATAATACCTGGACTGGTCTCACTGAGAAGCTGTACTGGTGTGGGCCTGGTGGGCCCAGGTCCTCCCCAGCACTGTCTGCTGTCCGTGAAAGAGAAAGCGTCCGCGGCAGTTTGAGAGCAGCGGTTAAACCTAACTTCAGCCCCTTCGTTTTAGTTTCCCTCCGCACAGTTTTGTGGTCTCCAATGAAAAGACGTGAACTTTGCAGGGGGCTACGTCTCTTACTACCCCCTCCACCGGGAAAAGCATGTCTTCATTTTAGGGTGTCTGTCCCGGGCGGCCGTACCCTGCTCGCTGCTAGTTTAGTTCCCTGCTCTGGGTGAGACACTTGATCACGTTACTTTCGTTGCCTCATGTATCTTTCCCGTTTTCTCCCCATGTATCAAGTTTAGGCTCTTTGAAGGTTTCTAACGCTTGTGCATCTTTTCAAATAGAGCTTTCAGCCGAAGCCAAAGCTGCGTTGCTTGAATTCGAAGAAAGAGAGCGACAGCATAAGCAGGGACGCTATGGTTCGAGGCGGGGAGGAAGGAGAGGAGGCCCGTTAGTGTGTCGTGGAATGGGAGACCAGAGGAGAGAGAACAGTGAGCGCGCAAGAATAAAGGACCACAGACCTGCCCTGCTTCCGACGCAGCCTCCTGGAGTGGTAATTCTCAGTTTTACTGTGATAGCCCGACGCCTGAGAACAAATGAAAATGTGCCTTTGTGAGTGTCGTACTGTGTGTGTGCCACCTAGTCTGAAATTAAAATTTAACGATAGGAATAACGGCTAAAGTTTCCTTATAATATCTCATCTGTGGCCTTATAAATCCTGTACGCAAGTACTTACGAAGAAAGAAGCAAGAGGCTTAGGTCCTCAAGTGTCAAATGAGCCCCAGAGGAGCCAGGCTTCCATCCTCTCCCTGAGTGTCCCTGCGTGCCCGCACTCAAAACGATGACGGTGGTGCACGGGGCATCCAGGTAGCATTGTTTATTTTATAAAAATGGCTTTTCCTTTATACTGTTTCCCACAGGTTTATCCCTAAATCGTAGCAGATTCTCTTAGAGTAATAACTGCCATGTGCTGTCCATAATCATATACTTGTAATTTTGGCTGAATTTGAAATTTCCTCTGCATTTCAAAGAGGAGATACCGCAGGGGCAAAAAAAAAAAAAAAAAAGGAATTAAAGTGATTCTCTGTCTTTTAGTGAGTGTTAGGATTTTATGGCCCCTTCCTTCAGAAGCCAGTCTCCAAGGACACATTTGGTTAACACGTGTCTACCGCAGGTCCCTCCTGCAGTTTTATTTGAATTTAGGAGAAAGCCACGTTTTGTCTGTGTAGAAATGTTAAAGGTTACCATGCATTCGTTTGTGAAATCTAACAAGTTAGGAAGGTAACTTCTTGTTTCACCCTGATAATCTCGGTTTTGCAGCCCAGGAAGGGGGGAAGGTAGGTGGGGCGATCACAGCATGACGAAGTTGATGCTGTTCACAGCCGCTTTTTGCGTAGACAACTGTTTTGTTCTTAAGCTTCTCAAATGGCAAAAACGCTGGACCTTAACTTCTTTTTCTTCCCCGTCCCGTATCCTCGGCCCCAGCCTCCACTTGCCGTACATCCAGCAGCCAGTTCAGTGATTCTGGCCTCTGTGGTGGAGAGGGGAACCACCACACGGGAGGATTGTTTTCATGTAACTGTCTTCGTGGTCGTGGAGAGGTACCTTCGCATCCACGGGGAGCACATGTGCCCGGGAGGCCATCGTCCTCGATCCTTCAGAGGGGCCGGAGTGCGCGGATCTGGGAGCGCTGGCACATGGCTAGCCGAGTGGGGGGCCGCCCGCACCCCCTGCCAGGTCTCCGTGGCCGAGGAGAGCTCTGGAGCTTGCTGTGAGCGGGGCCAGGCCTGACGGTGCTCTGGGCTCGCGTTGCCCAGTCACAGCGATGTGAGGCTCCCGTTCACTGGGAAGACCGGGACTGTCGGGGATGAACTTGAGCTCCCTCCCACCTGCGTCTGTCCTCCGACCACAGGCGCTCTTGACCCCGCTTACTCTGTACCCCAGAGCTGTGTGTCTGGACTCCAGGGTTGTGGGAAGAATGTGTCAAAGGCTTTCTCATGACTTTGTGTCAGTCCATCTTCTCCTAGGTCGGTCCCCTGCCGCCCGGACCCCGCTCTGTTCACTTCCTGACTGTGCTCTCGGGGTCCCTGCCACCCCTGTGCCTCCTTCTTGCTGTGCCCTGGCGCTGTGGGTGTCCCTGGCCAGCTCCTCAGGGAGGGGCGCCTGAGGTTTAGGCTGTGCTGTATCTCCTCTCCCCATTTAGCTGCCCCCTCGTCCGCCCTCCTTTGGGTCAGAGCTCTCGCCGGGTGGCATCGTCCTTCCCGCCACATGCCCTCTCTGTGCGCTTCCGGCTCCCTGTGCCCCCCGCCCCCCACAGGCGCCTCCCAGGCTTCCCCTACCTCCACCTGATTAAAGCACCCGACCTCCTTCATGCTCCTTCACTCAAGCCCATGCTTGAGAAGCCCACGCTCCTTCATGGGCTTGAGTGAAGGAGCCTGCATGGTGCCCCTCCTCCCTGCAGCTCAGATCTGACTCGCGTGAGCCTCTGTCCGTCAGCGTGCTCCCCGTGGGTAGTCGGCGGAGACTTTGGTCCCTACTCGCAGTGCAGGGTTGCGCATCGCATCCCGCGTGAGGCAGGGGAGGGAACACACTGGATTCCAGCAACACGGAGAGCTGTGGACGCAGGCTAGCCCCGGAATCTCTCTCTGGAAGAGTCCTCCCTGAGGCCATGGCTGTGTACATTTTGGTGTCGGAATTCTCTCCATTCCTCTGAAATGTGTCTTCCCTACTGCCTGTCAGAACCTGGCTTTTTCTTGTATTCAGCTCCTGCCGTGGCCTGCTCAGTGGTCTCTCTTTTCCGCCATCTTTCCCCACATCTGTCCCACATCCACCAGGTCCCATGATTCCTCGTGATATCCATGATTCCTCACCCTGCACGTGGCATGTGCTGCCACGTGCGTGGAGCTGGGGTTCACGGCTCCACGGTGTGGCTGGGGTGCAGCATGGTGTGCTTGGCGTGGCCGGGTGGCCCGGTGCCCACAGGCAGGACTGTGGACTCTGCTGGTCTGAATCCACTTCCGGCCCTGCCGCTTACCAGCTGCTTGGGAAGAGGATAGTGACGGGACCCACTTGATGGCCCCGTCGGGAAGCGGCCGCTTACTCCATATGCTGACCTTCCGGTGGGTGTGGAAGACACAGGGTCGGCCCAGAGCTCGGGGCCGCTGCCCTGGTCGCTGGCTGCCTCCTCTCGTGACTGTTTGGTGGCGTCACCACGAGGTCCTTGACTGCCTCGAGTGTCCGCACGGCCTGGCCTTCCCCCGTCTTGTGTTTGCGTGGCTGCGGCCACCCTGTGTCCCAGGTTTCCTGCAGACGTGGCTGCACCACCGCTAATTCCAGGGTCCCTTCTGCCCCCTGCCTGGCGCCCCGCTCTCCCCACTTCCTTTCCGGGGCAGGTGCCACCTTCTCCTCTCCCGCCCCGCAGGGGACTTAGGCATTCGCTAGGCCCGTGTCCTCCCCAAGGACAACCCTTGTCTCAGGCACGGTGGCTCACGCACGTGCCCGTCTGTCCCCCTCAGCTGTGTGGGGCAGGAGTGGGACTGGCCGCGGGGGTCTGTGTGTGCCGCGCAGCGCTCGCCCCACTCTGGCCACTGTTAGTGGCTGGACTGGAAGTTGTTCTTGTGGAATCCACGAGAGTCCCTTGGAGGTCGCTGTCCCCCCCAACCCCCGAGTGCCCCGGCACGGACCCCAGTGGTGGGCCGCGCGGCCCTGCCGCCTCCTACACGCCGTTAGCGGGAACCTCTCTGGAGCCCGTGCGCATCTGTAGGGCAGTAGCCTTCTTTTACTTCTCTTCTCAGTGGTGATTTCTGTGAATTTGTCATCTTTTTGGTGGTTTTCAGACGCACTCTCCAAGATTAATCCCTCCCGCGCAGCCTCAGCCGCCACCGCCGCCGCCGCCGCCGCCGCCGCCGCAGCAGCCCATCAGGAGCCTGTTCCAGCAGCAGCCCCTGCAGCCCCTGCTGCCCCTGCAGCACCCGCAGCACGCCCCGTCTCCCCAGGGGGCGCACGTGCCGCCCCAGATGGAGGCCCCACGCCTGATGATCACCCCGCCCCCGGTGACCCCGCAGCAGCCCAAGAACATCCACATAAACCCCCACTTCAAGGGGGCGGTGGTGACGCCCGTGCAAGGTACGTGTGCCCCCTTTCCCGCTCTTGTGACGCACAGGGTCCCGCGGCCGAGGCGGTCTCCTGAGCAGGGGTGCGAGGGCGAGCCGGCCCAATGGGCCTCACTTATTTGCTTAGACACCTGTACCTCATGCTTTATAACTTCGTGGACGGTGCTGGACGGTTTCTGAACTTCCAGGGCGGCAGAGGTAGCTGTGGAAATGCCCGAGTTGGTGTTCTCCGTCAGCTCCTCCCCCCAGCGGGCTCGCTGTGCCTCAGGCCTCGTTTGTAAGCGCAGCACCTCGAATGTTACCTTGCGGACACGTGATCCTGAGTCTGGGAAACGACTTTCTCATGCACCTGTTCAGCACGTGGGGACGGAGATCCCGCTCTGTCCTTGGCATCTGCGTGCTCCTGCTAAGAGGCACCGAGGAAGTGTTGTGCGGCCGCCGTCTGCTTCCCAGCAGGCAGAGACGCCGCGGGCAGTCACCACAGCGGGAGAACTGTTCCGTGGCGTGGTAGAGCCAGAGGTGGGGCAGGGCCCCGGCCTGGGGTCGGCCGCAGCTCTAGCTGGGGGGCCGCGGGTGGTGTTGTCACAGAGCTAAGAGGTGAGGAGATCCTCTGATGTCCCTGGTTCAGAAGGTGGCATGGTGTGTAACGAGTGGGAGGAGGTGGGGCTGCTGTCCGGGACAGAGTGACGTGGTGGGGTGGAAGGTGGTGGTGAGGAGGGGGCTGTGTGGCGACTGCAGAAAGTGGGTCACTGATGGCTACCAGGTCTTGGATGTGGCCCAGGTGGGGTGGAGGACGGCGGTCAGGGACCAGGAGGCGGTACCGGAAGCGTGGCCTCTGCCCAGACTGAAGCCCGGCCTGTGCTGGGGGCCGCGGTGAGAAGGGAGCTGAAATCCAGGACGCGCCCTGGGGCTGGGCCAGGAGGCGGCGGCGGTGGCAGCGGTGTGCGTGGCGTGTCTGATGCTGTGAGCCCCCACACTGGGCTCTGAAACAGCGCCGACAGCCCCGAAGGACCCCACTCTCGTGTGGGAGGAAGTGGCCCCGTCTTTGGGAGCCTTCTGTTCCCCTTTGAGCAACAGGGGAGGGCTGAGACCACCGTGCGTCCCGCTGGCACTGCACCTGGAATCCCAGAGTTCCAGAAGTTGGGGAGAAGCCCCAGATAGGACTCGATGTGTGGGAGGTGGCGGGGCCTGGAGGCGCTTTGAAATTGTGCTGTGCCCTTGCAGCGACGTCTGTGACGGTGGCAGTGGCAGGCTGGCCTTGGGCACGAGGTCCGTGTTGTGGGGCACTGCTCTTGTTTTACACGCCTGGAGGCAGAGTCACAGCGGGTCCCCGACCCCTGACCGAACCCCCACCCGCCCCCACCTTATCTAAGAGTCTCTCATCGGCCTCTGCCCGTGTCCTGTCCCCTCAAGGCACCCAACCGCGGTGGCCCCTGTGCCTGGCACACCACCTGCGTCTCCTCCAGCTGCTGTGCTCGTGTGGCGGCGGGGGGTGGCTCCCTAACGCAGCCCTTTCCACAGCAGCTTCCCCAGACGGGCAGCTGCCACCAGTCTGCTATGTCGGAATGACTGTCCTGAGGCCGGCGCCTGTAATTGTGTATTTCCTTGTATAAACCGAATGCAAAACTGGCAGTTGGCAAGGTGCACAGATTTGCACGAGCCTGATAAAAATCACTCGTATTGGAAGTGCAGCGTCGGGAGGCTCTGAGGAACCCCAAGATGTCTTCCACGTGGGAACGTAGAGTGCCTCGCCGCCAGTTAGCAGCCGGACGGACAGGATGCAGGCCTTGCACGCCAGAGCTGTCATTCGGTAAATAGAAGGACAGCGTTCTGACAGTAGTCTCTAAACCCTTAGAAGCAGCTAAGTGAGTTTCCCCGAGGCTGGCCGCCGTGGAGCCCCCCATTTCTTCTCGTGAACATCCCTAGGATCTTGAGACATGCCGATGTGAGGAGAGCACGAGAAACTGTGCTCCGAGGTCCCGCACGGAACGCTGTTGCAGAACGGGCCGTGCGGGAGTGAGCGAGGAGGCTTCAGTAGAAAGCCACGCTTCTCCGAGCGAGGCTGCGAGGGCCTAGCCATCTGCTGTGTGAACGGCGTAGGCTGACCCTGTGTTCACAGAGCCTTCGGCCGTCAGAAGGTACGTGACAAAGTAACAGCGTGAGCGCATCTTGTCCTGCTGGCCCCTGCTTTCAAGGAGGAGTGTTCCATCACATTACAGTTAACCGGTTTGGAGAGAAATGTAACTTGTTTTCCAGCCTTTTCCTGACTGAACTGTTGTAATGGACTGAAAACTTACTCAGCGTAGTCAGTAGAAAGATGAACGTTAGACATCAAGTACTCCAAGTTCAGGGTTCTGCTGGCAGTGCGCGTTTTCAGTTGTCTTGTGCTCAGGGCGCAGAGGGAGGCAGCTGGCGGAAGTGACTGGCCGATTGAGAGCCCTGGGCGGGGGGGGGGCACGGAGCCCCCGAGGGACATTTGGCAAACCCAGGCCTTTTCTCTGCTGGGCTTCTCAGATATGCTTCTCTGTTAACTCTTACTCTTTTCCTCCTCTTTCTTTTTTGCTGCTTTTTGCAGTTTACTTAAAAAGAAAAAAAGGCCAACTAAAAAGAAGGTTTCTTTTTTTTTAATATATTTTTTTAATGTTTTATTTATTTCTGAGAGAGAGAGAGACAGCGTGAGCAGGGGAGGGTCAGGGAGAGAGGGAGACACAGAATCTGAAGCAGCTCAAAGCTCTGAGCTGTCAGCACAGAGCCCGACGCGGGGCTCAAACCCACGGATCGTGAGATCTTGACCTGAGCCGAAGTCGGATGCTTAACCAGGTGCCCCTAAAAAGAAGGTTTCTGTGCAAGGAACCTGTTAATTATAATCAGATTTCTCCCCAGAGATTGCGCTTTGATTTCCTGTTCTCATCCTCCCCTCCTCCCCCCCCAAGTTAAACAGACTTACATTTTTTTTAAAAAAAGTTTTTTTTTTAATGTTTTATTTATTTTTGAGAGAGAGACAGAGACAGTGTAAGCAGGGGAGGGTCAGAGAGAGAGGGAGTCACAGAATCTGAAGACAGGCTCCAGGCTCTGAGCTAGCCGTCAGCACAGAGCCTGACACAGGGCTCGAACCCACAAACTGAGATCATGACCTGAGCTGAAGTCGGACGCTTAACCAACTGAGCCACCCAGGCGCCCCAACAGACTTAAATTTTTTGATACTCTCATGGTATTGTAGGTATCTGATAGGAACTGCTGTTTAAGTCCCAAGTTTAAAAATAAGCAGCACATAGGCTGGAAGGTCTGGGCACTCCATATTTGGCACTTAATTTTAAAACCATTATCTTTATATTTAATATGTAGTTTCATATTCACTTTCATTATAATCTTTTGAGGTCAGAGATACTCTAATTTTCTTCCTCCATTTCACAGTCTAATGTTTTGCCCTAAATAAATCGATGTACCCCCCCCACCCCCCCGGTGCCTTGTAGGAGACCTTGTTGAGAGGAGGCTGCATCCTGTTTTACAGAAAGTCTCTTAAATTGACCTCCTCTCATTCTGAAATTTTGACTCATTGGATTAGGCTTTCAAGGGACAGAATGACTTCTGCTACCTTGCATTTTTCAAGCTAAGTTTCTGTCACACTTTGTGTTTGATCAAGTCGTGACTCCAGTCCATACACACTATCACTTTATATATATGTATGTATGCATTTTTATATTTTAATGTTTATTTTTGAGAGATTGAGAGTGAGCAAGCGGGGGAGGGGCATAGAGAGAAGTAGCAGAGGATCCGAAGCAGGCTCCAGGTTTCCTGCTGACAGCACAGAGCCCGATGTAGGACTTGAACCCATGAACCACAAGATAGATCCTGACCTGGGCTGAATTCGGATGCTTAGCCGACTAAGCCATATAGGTGACCCTACACTATCACTTTATTTATTTATTTTTTTAATGTTTTTTTATTTTTATTTCTAGGAGGGAGAGAGAGAGAGACAGACAGCGTGAGCAGGGGAGGGTCAGAGAGAGAGGGAGTCACAGACTGAAATAGGCTCCAGGCTCTGAGCTGGCAGTCAGCACAGAGCCCGACGCGGGGCTCGAACCCACGAACCGCGAGATCATGACCTAAGCGAAAGTCGGACGCTTAACCGACTAAGCCACCCAGGCGCCCCCCTACACTATCACTTTACATTGGACATGTGGAAGTATGACCCTCATCATAAGTGTTCATATATAGCGTTCCTTGAGTATTTATAGTAAATAAAATTTATCTTAGCGTTCCAATTTTAAAGTAATTGGAAAAGTATATTTTTCCTGTATCAGACGTTTCTTAAATTAAAAATACAGTATGTGATATTGTTGTTGTTATTATTATCATTATTATTTCTGTCCTCACATGACTGGTTGTTCTCTGTGCGTGTCTGTGGTCTGCTCCCTTATGAGGATACCCATCATACTGGGTCTGGGCCCACCCGCAAGACCTCATTTTACCCTGATCCCCTCTTTCCAGGCCCCTTGCCCAAATGTAGTCCTGCTTTGAGGCCCTAGGGCTGGAGACTTCAGCGTATGCATTTGGGGGAGGGAGACACAATTCAGCCCATAACACCTGACCCTCTGAGCGCTTACTGGATGTATCTGGCGGCACAGTTTAATGAGAATCGCAGCACCCCACCCCATAGCGGTCCCCACTCAGGCGGTGGGGCTTTTTTTTCCCTTCACAATCAAGATCAGTGCACCGTGTACCTTTTAAATAGCATAAGCCTGTCTGATTTAGGCCCAGGGTATATCATGTGGCTTCTTCCCTCCTGTAAAATGTCTGTTTTAGAATTCTGTGATTTCGTGTTCTTCTGGCAGAGCTATTGGAGTTCTTGTTTAAAAAGTAAAACCAAAAACAAACAAAATCTTGGCATAGGAGACTGTTTAATAGATTGTTCTTTGTGACAGTACCATGGGTATGTGTGTTTTCCTTTCTCTGCCTCCCTCCCTCTTTCTCATGATGCTAGAGGATTTAGATTTAAATTTGTATTTGATTGGAGTCAGAAAATGTAATTGGATTAGATAGTCTGGATAACTTGGATATGGATGTGAAGCACAAAGCCGTTTATTTTAGAGGAGTGATCTCTTACTGCAAAACATTTTCATTCTAAATAGAAATTCCCTGTTGAAATTTAAGCTTCTGTGTGTGCTGCTGCTTGGGGACAGGTGTCCAGCACTGTCTTTCCCTTTGTGGGCTTGTGAAGCGCAAGCGCAGAGCACTTCGCTTAAGTGTAAACTTCACGCGTTACTGTAATTTGCACATAATGCATATTTTATATCAGACTTAACGTATTGTATTTGTTTTTCGGTGGGTTGTGGAGTGAACCATGTTGGTAACAAAAGGTGTTTCTCTGCAGTGCCCCTGCTGCCAGGCCCGAGCCAGCCGAGACCTGCTGTGGGGCCCCCGAGACTGCCCGTGAGTAACAGCTGCTCCTCCCTTCCGGCCGCGTGGGGGCGGGGGGCGGGGGGGCACGCGTTTGCAGGGACACTAATGCAGCAAACGCAGGTGGTGCCAGCCAAACAGAAGTGGAGAGATTGGTAAATATTGACAATAGTTGTGCAGTGGAAGCTGTTTGTTAACAGCTTAGAGGTCGGCGGAGTTTTGAGAGTGGAATTAATTTGGTTTAGCTGTAAAATTGTTGAATTAGGATCATCATACAATGCCTTCTGTCTCTAAAGAGTATGAATTTTGATTTCATTATTGCCTTGTGTTAAGTGAGAAAGGGCGTTCAGTGTGTGCGCGCACGTGCACACATGTGGGAAGCTGTGCACGTGTGGGTGCATGCATGAGATTTGAGGGAATACTGATGAGATCTCTGCTTGTTAAAAAAAATTGGCCAAATCTCAAAAGTCTTAATGAGCTACTGGTTTTATATTTTTAAGTAGAGGTTTTTCTCTTTGATCTTTCTGTAAAGGACGCACACATCTTCCCCCTCGACGCTTTGCAGCGTGGGTTCCTGGACCCTACCCTGACCAGAAGAACAGCGCCCCCGGGATAGTGTATCTGTTTACGTAAATTGTCCTATTTGAGTTCTGGGTTAGAGTCGTTATTAGTTCTTGGTTTCATTAAACTAAGGAGGACATGTTCTTTGTAAGAAGAGTGTTGAAGAAAAATGGACCGGACCGTAACAGTTTAATATCATTTGTATGTAAAACAGGTGTAGTTTTGTGGAGATTAAACAGTCCGATTTTCAGGGAATATCTAAAAAACATATTTGACTCTACCTTTGATACTTAGGTAGATGCATGTTTATATAAGGCACTTATCAGAAAGGTTTTAATGAAGGTTCTAGGTTTAGAGGCAGATGATTATTCAAAAATAAAATCAGTAGTTAGGATTCAGAGTACTTTTTAGAAACATTTTTCTAGTCATTTATGAATTATGAGATGGTTTCTATAACTGATCTCATTTTATTGCCTTATATTAACTAATTTTTCCTTTAAGTTACTTACAAAGTTCTAAAAACTAGTTTTAAAAACAAAGCAGTATTGTATATATTGATATTTTTGTAAAAACATGTTTAATAATATAAAATTAGAGTAATTGTAATTTTCATCTACCTGTATTTCTCAGTTGTACAAATGTGGTTGTATGTTTTCTTCTAAGAAGCAAACTGCATAATGCCGGAGGGTGATATAAGAGGATAGTAGAAGACAATTTCTCTGAGAAATTGGACTTATTTATTTTTTAAAGGTTTTATTTCTAACTAATGTACACACAACATGGGACTTGGACCCACAGCCCTGAGATCAAGAGTCACGTGCTCCACTGACTGAGCTGGCCGGGCCCCCTAAAGTTGAACTTATATTTAACTGATATAGTACTCTCAAGGTCGCGGGTCCTGCCACAGGGCAGTGAGGTGGCAGGTCGAGCTGCTTTTGGAAGTTTCTGCAACATGTGAGTTTTGTTTTGTTACTGTTGTTGAGGTGGGAAGTATGTATGGGTGCCTGGTATATGATATAATATGAGAAACATTTTCTGTAGCTCCGTTATTTATCATCATTTAGTGTGTATTGTATCTTCTTTAAGCCCCAAATGCTAGATCTTAAGCTGAAGTTAAGGTGAACTTATGGTCTTGAAAATGCAGTGCTCTTCTTACTTTTGTAATCAGTCTTCCTTCGGGAAAGTAATCAGATGTGGAATCTGTTATCTGTTTGTAAAAAATACTCGTGAGGCGGGGCGCCTCGCTGGCCCCGTCGGTGGAGCGTGTGACTTAATCTCAGGGCTGTGAGTGTGAGTCCCACGTTGGGTATAGGATTACTTAAAATTTTTTTAAAAATTCAGAAATACACTAGAGGTAGTATGTTTTTAAAAGTCCATTAAAATATTATTAAGGGAGACCAACCTGGGACATCTATTGCTATTTTACGTACAACCAGATCTTTTTTGAATAAAAGTTTTTTTCCTTTTCTACTAGATTAAACTTGGTCGCTGTCTGTGTAAATGTAGTTTTGTGAACATGCGAGTTTCTCCTTTATGCCACGTCGCTCTGCCTGGTGCTTAGCCCCAAACCACAAAGTGGACCAGCACAGCCATGTAAGCTGCTTTTGAGCAGAGTGAGATTCTAAAATGAGTGGGGATAGTATTGCTGGGTTTTAATAGACCTTTGGAGATTTCGTAGTAGTGGTGGTGGTGTGCCCTCGGGGCTGTCCTCTTACTTTGGCTAAACTGAATTTTGCTTTGTAAAAGGACACTCTTACTCACTTTAGGAAACCTGACTTCAGAATCCTCATGGAGTCTGTTTGAATCGGGAGACTTCCTTGGCACAAAAAAGACTTGAATTGCATTAATCTATGAGCAAAGTGAAGTTCACTGTCATCTTGTAAGTCCGTATAGAATTGCTGGGTCACGTACTCAACCACTGTGTACCCGCAGTCTCTGCACAAGGCCTGGGCTTGGCCGGTCCTTGTGGGTGCAGGGGGAGCAGGACTCTGGGCAGAGTCGATCTGCAGACACAGACCAGCTTCTCCTGAAATCTGAGTGAGCTGTATGATGCTGTCAACGAGGGCACCACCCCTCCTGGGACAGTGGGGGTTCCTTAGAGGAGCTTGGGCAGGGGACAGACCCGATGACAGTGACCTTTACTTTGCTCAGTAGATTTCTGTAATTCACATCTTCTTGTGCACCAGGGAAATTACTGATTCAGACCATGATGAGCCCTACATACGATGTCGTGTAGAGAAGGGTTGTGTGATTTAGTTCTGCACTTGTTTTCTTTGACACAGATGTGAATCACATCATACTCGTTTAAGTATATAGGAATTCGGTTCTAGCTGACTGATGAAAGGGAGAAATAGGCAGCCAGTAGATGTACCATTAGGTTTCCAAGTTTTAATTTTTTAAATTTTATTTTGAGAGAGAGAGAGAGAGCTAGTAGAGGAGGGACAGAGAGAGAGGGAGACACAGAATCCGAAGAAGACTCCACAATGACAGCTCAGAGCCTGACCCAGGGCTTGAACGAACCAGTGAACCCTGAGATCATGACCTGAGCCGAAGTCAGACGGACAGTTAACTGACTGAGCCACCCAGGCACCTCTAGATTTCCAAGTTTTAAAGGAATTAGTATTCAGTTAGTATTAATGCTAAGGTATTCTTTCTCTTCCCCAACAGTGGCAAGTTTTACTTTCTTAAAAGTCCATTTTCTTTGACAATTTTATGAAAACTTGAGAAATTCTTAATTTAGAACTAGTATGCCTGAAAATTGTACTAAGTGATAATGTCTTGGATTTTTAATTAAAAAATCAGAGAACTCTAGGCAACCTAATATTAAACCTATTTTTCATAGCAGTGTTTAAAATTATTTTTAAAAATTAAAATCTTAGGCCAAAATACGGTATTCTGTGCTTGATGTAGCAAAACTAATATTTTTATTTCCTGTTGATGAATTTTATTTAGGTAATTTAAATAGTTTTTAAAGCAAAGATTTGAATGTCAAAATAATAAAGATCATCAAAGCTTCCTTGTGTTTGATCTTTTTGGAAAATATTGTTTCAGCTCTTGGCATTGAGGTGCCGTTTCTGTGGTCGCATCGGTCTTGCTGTCTGGATGGGATCGCTCCTCCCCCGTTCCCTCGTTTGTGGCATTCGGTGAAGTGCGTTGTAATTCAGGTTTCCATCTGCGAATTAGACCCGTGTGTGTAATTTTAGCTACGGATGCAGCGGGTCATGCTGCAGTCTGAAACGTTTCTTGTCCCAAACTTTCATTACCAGACTGGTTTATTGTTTACAATCAGAGTTCTGAACCTTCCTTTGAAATCTAAACATAACTCGATCGGTAGTGCCATCAGAGAGTGGATTCTCTTCACACTCACTGTTGTATCACGCCAGACGTGTATCTGCCAAGTCGTGTGTCTCCGCTGTTGGAGCAGTGACGGGGGGGCGAGGACCCCTGCGCACCTGCCCCTGCCGTCCCTCCCGCCGCCACCGCCTCTGCACCTCGTGCTCCGCCCGGTCGTGCCACCCAGCCTCCTCCAGTCCCGGGTCCTCTCGGGAAGCGTTTCCACCCGTGTTAACAGCCTTGTGCTGCTGTGGCGGGGCGGGCTTGCCTGTGTGCGGTGAGCTCCCGTCTGTGTCCGTATGAACCCTGTTTTCCTTTGCTCTTGGTGATACGTGTTAGTCTGACCGGCGTCCCTTTCCACAGAGGCTGCCCCTGTCAGTTTGTCCCTCACGTAAAGGTGGAAGTCCGTTCTTGAACCATAAGTATGAACGGTTTGCAATTGTGTATTTATCCTCCAAGTGATGTTTATTGTTTTTAATGTTTGCCCACTTAGAAAAGTAACCCTAAAATGTTGGCTGATGATAGCTTAAAGCGTTGCTTTCGATTTTGCTGACCTAGTTTGCTGCAGGTGTCCGTGCAGTGGCTGGTTTTAAGCATGTGGATAAATCCTGCGTAACTCACGTTGTAAAGATGGTTGACCTAGGGTTGTTTAAAAACCTATCCGGGGGCGCCTGGGTGGCTCAGTCGGTTGAGTGTCTGACTTCGGCTCAGGTCACGATCTCACAGTTTGTGGGTTCAAGCCCCGCGTCGGGTTCTGTGCTGACAGCTCAGAGCCTGAAGCCTGCTTTGGATTCTGTGTCTCCCTCTCTCTGACCCTCCCCTGTTCATGATCTGTCTCTCTCTGTCTCTCAAAAATAAGTAAATGTTTAAAAAAATTAAAAAAAAGAATAAAACCATCAGTTATTTAAAAAAAAAAAAAAAACCTATTCGGTCATCGATCTGAATTGATGTATCAGGTAAGTGCTGGTATATTGTTGGGTAAGTGTGGGAAGGGCAGCCAGTTAGATAGCAAGTACTTTGGCTGCTGAATAAATTTCTTAGTGATTTTTGTTTGAATTAAAACGAAATAATTATGTTTACAAAAAGGACTACCAATACTTTTAAAGTCATCTTCTTAGCAGTCACAGTATTTAGATTTT